AGAAAAGTGTCAGAAAGGATAAAATATCAAATGAACTAAGATATGAAGAAATATTAAAAACAAGTAATAAATTTTACTTAGCTGTTTTCAGAATGAAAATATACCAAAGAATGTTTCAGATTTGTCCTGCTGGAATTATTTTAAAATGTGAATGGATAACAAAGAGCAGAATCCCTCAGCTCAAACTGTTTCTATCTTTTCTATCAAAAAGTTTTCTTCTGAGTAGAATAAATATTGGCAAGAGATGACCGAAGTCAAAGGGCTCTGAATGAGTTACCTCTAGTCCCAGGCACACTGCATGCCAAGTAAGAAAAGAATCCTATATAATAAAAGGCTAATATGCAAATTGACTGAACAATGGGACAACTGGTTGCTATGTTGCACACTGGCCACCAGGGGGAAGATGCTCAAAGCAAAAGCGCTCCCCCAGTGTGGTCCCAAAGGGGGAGCGCTGCTCAGTTGGGAGCCTCTCCCACCTCTGTGGCAGCACTAAGGATGTTCGACTGCCAGCTTAGGCCTACTGGGGAGCAGGCCTAAGCCGTCAGTCAGACATCCCCCAAGGGGCTCCGGACTGCAAGAGGGCGCAGGCTGGGCTGAGGGACCTGTGCATAGTATGACATGAATTTTGTGTACTGGGCCTCTAGTTTGCATATACAATCACAAAACTATTGACAACAATCTTTTAAGAATTCAAGGAAGTGATTCTTTTCTCCCCTGTTAAATGCCTAACTTGTCAGTTAAGACTCATTATAATTTAAGGATCAATTTTTTCAAGAAAACATTACCTGAGGTTTCCAGGCTGGATCAGGACCCCCTCTGAACAACCAGAGCAGTGTGTGTGCAATTCACTATCACTCAGTCCATCTCACTCTCCCTGTATTGAACTGCATATGAGTCTTAGTAAACTTTGATACCTACTCCTTAAATGAGTAGTTATTCTGGTTGAAGAGACAGCGAGGTACGTTTCAGGCAGAGAAGACAGCATGAGCAAAGGCAAGGAAGTGAGGAGACGCATGTATTTTGAAAATACAGGAAGATCATCTTTGCTAAGGTGTTAAGTGAAAGCAGAGAATCACAAGAGATAAAACTAGAGAGGTAGTAAGGGGCCAGTTCATTGGAATTCAATATGTCACATTTGAAAACTTGGTTTTTATGTTGCAGCTAATGGTCTGTCAAAAATTTTTCTCGGTTTTGTTTAAGTAACAGAACATTATTGAAAGGAAAGTTGTACAAGAAAGCTACTTAGGATGAATTAGGGTTGGATGGGCTGTGTCCCACCAACTCTCACTGTAACTCCCAAAGTGGTGAGTTGCAAAGTGTGTCTGCAGATGACTCACAAACCCCAGAATGATCTGAGGTTGACAACAAAGACCAACTCTGAATAAGAAGCTGATGTTTTCGTAAGCTCCTCAGGTAACTGTCGTGTATTAAAATTTTAAAACTAGACATTCTACAAGACAACTGGCTCATAATCTTCAAACAGGCCAATGCTGTGAATAATAAAGTTCAAGCAGCTGTTCCAAATGAGAAGAGAACAAAGGGATATGACAATTAAATGCAAGTTATGATCTTGAATCAGAGAAGTTTTGCTCTAAAAGACATTGTTGGTGCATTTGGCAGAATTTGACTATAGGATGATAGAAAATTGTATCAAAGTTGAATAGGTAGGGAATATAGTTCTTTGTACTAAATTATTTAAAAAGTAAAAGTTTAAAATATTTAAAAGCGAGAGCTTAAAAAATATTTAAGTCTTAGGGCTGTGCCAACTTCAATCAGTGTTAGAAAATTGGGAATTACTGAAAGGCTTTAGGTAGGTGGTTTACATAAGCAGATTTGTGTTATTAAGAGGTGGCCATTATGGTCCCATGAAAGGTGCAATTCAGATGACAATATTAGAAATCTGTAGCACTCCTGGGAAATAGGTCATACAAGTCTGAAAAGAATGAGGGTAGTGGAGCCTGGCTGGCGTGTCTCAGTGGCACATTGACCTATGAGCTGGTGAGGGCACATGCCCAGCTTGCAGGCTCAATCCCCAGTGCGGGGCGTGCAGGAGGCAGCTGATCAATGATTCTCTCACATCATTGATGTTTCTATCTCTTCCTCTTCCATCCTCTCTGAAATCAATAAAAATATATATTAAAAAAAAAAGAATGAGGGAGTGGAGATTGAGACAAAGGGATTATGGGATAAATTCAGGTAGATTCAGTGGCTAACTGGATACGAGGGATGGAAGCAAAATGAGGAAAAAGGATAGCTATGAGGGTTTAGTTCGGGTGGTTATGGAGATAGTACTTGCTACCAAAGTTATAGAGAATACAAAATACGGAGGAACAGCATTTAGAGCAGAATCAGGTGAATTTGAATTTGGATACATGGGGCATCTATGTGAATATGTATAGCAGATAAATATAAGAGTTTGAAGCTTCGATAAGAGATCAAATGTATGTATAGAGATGCATGCATACACATGTGTATGTATACACATAAATATATATATGTATACACATAGGTATATAGTACAATAATATGACATAATAAAAATCAAGATCATGAAAGGCTGAATCTAAGAAGACTTAGTTTAGCAGGAATAAATTTAAGAACCAGTATACTGGACCAAAATATCAAACCAAAACTGAAGAAAAAGAGAATGAAGGAGACATAAATTAGCTGTCACACTTTGAAAATAATATTTGATAGGCGTGAGTATATGTAAATCCAGTACGTAGGTATTCAAAGAACAAATGCAATCTTAGCACTCATATAAATCTCATATCATATAAAGAAGCAAATGAAAATGATGATTTATTGTACAGGGTGGGGAAAAAGTAGGTTTACAGTAGTTCGTATGGACAATAATACAATAATTAATAGATAGTAATACAAGAATAAATGTGTTTTGGATACTCACAACTGTAAATGTGCTTTTGCCCCACCTAGTATACTCATTAGATGACATTCACAATACTGTGTTTAGCTTCATTTATGCTTGAATAGTGATAGAAAAGAATAAAATGAGATGGTAGAGGGATTTGAATTAGGCCTATCATAATATGGATGGTTGTAAAACAATGAAAGAAAAGTTACATGGAAATAAATAATAGCTTTTAAAAATATTTATGATCTATCATGTGGAAGAGGCATCACATCTCATTATTTCAAGGAGAATCAGGGAAAATGAATCAAATCAGAAATGTTTACCTTTAAGATTCCTTTAGTCAATATTTTGTGTTATTAAAGAGGTGGATGAAATATACAGGGACACATGTTTTTTGTTGTTGTTGTTAATCCTCACCCAGGGATATTTTTCCATTGATTTTTAGAGAGAGTGGAAGGGAGGGGGAGATACAGACACACATCGATTGGTTGCCTTCTCCATGTGCCCCATCCAGGGCCAGGGATTGCGCCTATACTTGCCCTTGACTGGAATCGAACCCAGGACCCTTCAGTACCTGGGCTGACGCTCTATCCACTGAGCCAAACTGGTTAGGGTGGGACATGCTTTTTAACTCAACATGTGAAGAATGTTTTCTTATTGCTACTGCTCTTTAGCAATGGAATGAACTCTATTTTAATTTGGTAAACTACCTATCACTAAAATTAGTCTATCAAAGGTTGCACGAGCCTGGATCCTATAATTAGTAGAAGGTAAGACTACTCTCAAGATTTCTTTCTGCTTTAAGATTCAGTGAGATGAGAATGAAAAAAATTAGATGATTAGATGTAATACTTTTTTTTTTTTGACTGGGTAAGATTACAAGAAAGCAAACTGACATATAATAAATATCTACTGACTTCTATATTTCTAGAGCTATAAAGAAAAGATTTGAGATTCAAATTTCTGGGAAGGTGAATTATTCCTTGTCTATCCAATGTGAAGATACTTTTCTAATTGCTTATAAATAGATCTTTATCAAACATAAATTATTAACTCTTTACTTGTTATACTACTCTCACTTTACTCACCCAAATCTTGATTAGGAAACGGTCTTCTGAAATAATCAAATATACGATCATCTGATACATTTGGCCTTGCAGCTAGATGGTAAAAAGATCATTAGTAGCATGAAAACAATTCATTGACTCTTTTACATTTCATATTTTTATCTTCTACATGAAAATGTTAGCAGATAATATGCCAATAGTAGTTTAGTTCAGTTAAATTAACACAGTTGTCAAATCTTATGATTTTTTGGTTGCATTTTTGCTATTTATAGCAGAAATTTAAAAAATATTCATACCCTTTGGGGCAGCAATTCCTTTCTAAGAATCTATTATAAATAAATAATCGATACTATACACAGACAGGAAGTTATTAGGTCAAAGTTAATGATATACTGCAATTTTAAATAAAAACAGGTTACAAAACAAGCAGAACTGAACTTGTTTGTCTCCCCCTATAACAATGAGCTCCTGGGAGGAAGAAATGGTAGAGTATACTTTTCGATATCTGTAAGCACCAAGCACAGTGGAAACCTCAAAGCTGTGGCACAAATACAGTGTTTATTAAGTGAATTTATCATTTATGAGAAGGTAGAAGCAGAACATTACCTTTCGCATCAGAGTTTGATTCTTTGTGTCTTGGTATTAAATATCCTCTACCACAAACCTAGTGGAACACAGAACCAGAGGGAAAGCAATATGGTTATGCACATAAAAATGAGATGAATTTCCTATGTGATTTACGGAAGAGTTCTTTTCAACATTTCTTGTTTTATCCTCATAGATTCAGAATGGATAAAATAATCTCTTATCAGAACCTAATACCTATCCCAACACTACTTTTATCCTAGAGCTATGAGTAGAAGAAAATACTGATATTATATTTTGGCACTAAAGGGAGTTTAAAATTTTTTCACTGCATATGGAACCTATTTATGATAAGAGGCCAAACAATGTAGTTTATAATCTCAGTGAAATGAGAAGAGTAAAGGTACAGGAAGATAAGACTATGTAACGGGTGAAATATATAAAATTATATGAAAATGTATACGCAATTATAAAACTATGCTTATATAGAAAAGATGAAAATTATTTTCTCATTGCTTGCAAAGAAATCTGGTAAGGAAGAGCATATATAACATTGCATTCTATCTTGAAAGGAATTGCCAATATGATCTGGATGGATTAAAAAAGACAAAACACGCCCTCACCGGTTTGGCTCAGTGGATAGAGCACCGGCCTGCAAACTGAAAGGTCCCACGTTTGATTCCGGTCAAGGGCATGTACCTTGGTTGCGGGCACATCCCCAGTAGGGGGTGTGAAGGAGGCAGCTGATCAATGTTTCTCTTTCATTGATGTTTATAACTCTCTATCCCTCTCCCTTCCTCTCTGTAAAAAATCAATATATTTTTTTAAAAAAGAAAGACAAAACACTATAGAATTGTGACTGTAAATATTGAGTAGTCTACATACAGATCATTATGTAACCATGACAACATTTTTAATGTGATAAAACTTTTGCTTTTGTGTTTGTGTTATGTGGATATTATAAAGAATTTTCCAAAAGGGCCTGAGAAAGGAAAAGAGAATTGAAAACATTTTTGCCAAGATGTAATACTTATCAACTTATGATAAAAAGTGGAGTACGGCCTGTCTGTGTGGCTCAGTGGTTGAGCCATGAACCAAGAGGTCATGGTTCGATTCCCAGTCAGGACATATGCCCGGGTTGCGGGCTCCATCCCCAGTAGGGGCCGTGTGGGAGGCAGCTGATCAATGATTCTCATAATTTATGTTTCTATCTCTTTCTCCCCCTCTATTCCTCTCTCTGAAATCAATACTTTTTTTTAAGTGGATAAAATAGAATTAAAAACTAAACTAAAATCCCTTTGTACATAAAATAGATTGGCAGCAAAAAAAAAATTGACATAATGAGTATGAAAATGGGAGAAAATGTAACAACTGAAAGATTATTGAAGGGAGAAAAAAGGGAAATATTCTATAAAAAAATTAAAGTTAAAAGTAGCAATATTATCCTATCTAATAAAAGAGAAACATGGTAATTAGCTGTAACTTCGCTACCTTTCCCATTGGCGAATCAGCAAGATATGCAAATTAACTGCCAACCAAGATGGCGGCCAGCAGCCCAGCAGCTGACGCGAACATGGAGGCTTGCTTGCTCCAGTGACAGAGGAAGCCAGGTTCCCCGCCTGCCTGCTGGGCTCTGAGCTGCTCTCTGAGAAACATTGTTACAAATATAGAAGCTTAACAAAAACCAGAAAC